AAAAACAAGCTAAATGGAAACCAATTTGATCGTCGTAGAGCAAGAGAGGATGTGACTTCTATCTTCATGATCTTTAAACAATTAGGATTTCCAATTTCTTGATATTTAATTTCGAAAATATAATCCAATTATCAATTACATAAGTAATTAATAAATTATGCAAATGAAATTGTTTTTCTTTTAATCATTTAATATATTTTAACATTGAAGAAATATCAATGTCTTTCAACATATCCCCCCAATTTTCCATATTTTCCATACTTTTATAACTTCCAGATTATGCCACTACCATCAGATAGATATATACCATGTGATCCTGAATATTCAAATTAGCGCCTCGTTCCACCAAATACCTTGCCAGTTCTTGATTACTTTGTATTATGGCATAATGAAGTGCTGTTCTGCCTTTGTACATTTCACCATTTATATGATTACCAGTACAGTTAATATCAGCTCCCGCATCGATCAACAGAGCAATTGCTTCAGGATCTCGGTACCCAAGCTTAGCCACAGTCATCAAGGGACTACAATCTGCATCATCGATCGCATCCACCTTAATGAAATGTTATTTTCAATTAATTTTTTGTCCGCAAGTATTTGTTGGAAAGATAAACTAAAATGACCAACAACTCACAGCTGATTCAAAACGATTATCAATTTCCAATTCAAGATATTTTCGCGACTAAAGAGGAAAAAGAAGAGAATTCTGAGTGGAAAGTAACGAATCTGATCTTTTAAAAGATTCGATATTATTAATATCAAGAAGAGAATTGAAAATGAATCGATGGAAGGTATGAAATCAAACTTGCCTCTATCTCTCCCGTTTCAAGAAGGATACGAACAATATCGGCTGCATTTATGGAGGCAGCGTGATGTAGTGCTGTACGATTATGAATATCTGATATTGTAATATCGGCCCCAAATTGTAGGAGACATTTTACCACTTCAGCACGTCCTGCTTTTATAGCCATAATCAAAGCCGTCTCGCCGTAGTCATCCTCAGCATCGACAAGAGCTCCAGCTAAGAATAGATTTTCCACATCCATACAGCTGGCTTCCTCATTTTTCTCTTGATTCAGGGCTGTTAGCATCAGTGCAGTTTTTCCATCATTACTTTTCGTATTAACAAGCGACCTATTGATCTGAATTCGAACAGTTTGTGAAATATCTCAATATCAAATTTCTAGTGATTCAAAGATAAGTAGTCGGTAATTGACCGACTGACCGCTGTTTGAAAAAGTAATGAAAATCGATCAAAAAATAGAAAGTGCAGAAACTGTTACTAATTTAAATAACAGAGGCAAAATATAGTGATTGAGTCATTCTGTGAGTAACCAAGAAAATTGAAGAGAAGCTAGTTATAATATCGATCCGTCAACATCCACATGTCTATATCATAAGATGTTTATTACAATTCTGTAAACTATTTAACTGCGGTTTTTAATTCTTTAGAAAACTTGCAAAGAGTAAACAAGTTTTCACCGGAGTTTTGATTGGAAACGAGTCAATTGCCTGGTCATGAAGCACAGTCCATTTTCTTTCGCATATTTTTTCTTCTTCAGGATCAGGAATCACACAGACTTCGATAAAATGATGTCGTTGTTCATGGTCGTCGACTTTTTTACTTGGGATACCATCATCTTGCATATTTCCATTACTCTGATAATTATCTTTAAGCAGCTTCAACGGAAAATCTATAAATAGCTTTTTGTCTACAAATTAATAAAAACCAGCTCAAATAGTTTAGAAGCATCTGCATAAAGTTTCTAAAATTGTAACAGCAGTTTGTCAGAAAAGATAAGCAGATATCAGTAATGCTTACAATTATCGAGAGTGGGTGGGAACCACGTCCCTGCCACGTGAACCTTCTTTTGTAATCGTCTCGCAGTATTTCGACGCTTAGCATTTCTGTGAAGCGTAAATAAGACAGCAATCATGAATATTTGCATTACAAAACCCGAAAGCGCATAAACCATCCATTTCTTCCAATTTGTAGTAGTAGATGATAGCTCAGCTTCAGCAGCGTGCAATCGTGCACCGACACGCCACAGCAACTGAAGAACACGTGTAACTCCTATTTCAAATACAACCATAAATCACCGTAGTGCCGGATTCTTCATAACTTGCTAATCTCGCTTTCTTGACATTTGAATTTAGTTGTCTAGTGCAAATCTTACCTGGTTTGAAGTCATTGCACCTACGAAATCAGCAGCTTGTTTCATATTACTGATTTGATGTTCACAATTAACTCCTTTGCGACACTGGGGTGTTTCAACATTTAAGTGTACCTTCGTACCATGTAATCCTGCAAGGAAAAAAAATAAAATCTTATTTCTCAATATTTTTGAAAATTGAACTGAATTTTAATAACTTGAAATAAACATGAAATGATATATTCAGGTACCCAGGATTGATATATATTCGAAGTCAATAAATCTTAGGGAAAAAATCAAGGCAAAGTCAACATTACCCTTAAATTTAGAGCAGACCTCTGTTTCAGACCTCGTATGAATATTTTACAAATGAATAAGATAACAAAAATTTAAGAAATTTTAGATATAATTGACCTTTTGCGTCTGATTTCCATGAATAAAACAGTTTATGGTTACTTTTATCGACAGCAATAGTAACTCTTGCCCGCATTACTTGGCTCAAAATGAACTGCAGAACAGGTGCGCGTTTCAAGAATTCATCTGGTTTAATAAGGATTATTAAACTCAAACTTCCTTCCAACTGAAACGAAAAATCGAAAGTTATTTCCGCTTGCAGGTTTAACAAGTAATTACTGACTTGCCTATTGATGGTACAAATATTGTATTATGCGTCATAGAGTAATACGAACTGATTTCTAGTGAAAGTCCGTTTAAATCATTCAAATGTCATTACTCTCTTCAAATATAGTAAGCTGACTTCAAATAATGCAGAAATGGATAATTTTTGGATAATTCAATGGATAATTCAACATGGTAATTTCTCTCGTTGTAAGAGAAAGACTATCAGAGCTACAAGTCCTTCCATTTTGTGCATTCCTCTTGTGATTCGATTATTTGACATTACTGCTGTTCACAAACGTCATTAATCTATAGCATAGCCTAAACAGACCTTATTATAATTAATTTCCTGCGTACAATCAACGCCATCAAAGTAGCACTCTTCAGTAAAGCATTCCTGATCGCAGTAACCGTCGTTGAAACGTACGGAACAATAATCTTCAAACAAGCATGTTTCTGTTTTCCCGCTGCAATCGAATCCATCCAAGAGACATTCAAAACGATCACATACCTTTAACAATCAAAGATAAATAATGATAATCCGGTAATGATCCACTGAAAAGTGATGAACCATCACTTTTTCTTTTGAAGACTCAAAGACTATTTTGCGATTAGAAAAGAAGAAATTCTGAAAAGCAATTAAGAGGTTTCTTTCTATTCAATAATTACCAACCAAATCGCATTTATTATCGTGGAATACTCGACCGCAAAAATCATGAAGTGGACAGTGCCGAAACGGTTGTAAATGAGCACTACAATCGAATCCATCATACTGGCATGCCGGATAGTTACATTCCGAATCACAAACATTATTGTCAGCTTTTGATGAACAATTATGAAGTAAACAAATCCTCTTCTCAAGCAACTCTTCTTGATGATTATTATCCAGGGAGATACGATGCTGTTTGCAGAGACGATCTTCGAATCCTGGTGGGCAAACTTTCTCACAATTTGTGCCATAGAAAGCTGAAAAATCCATATAATAAACTATTGGTCAATAATCCATTGATTAATTCAACTTATCTAATTAATCTCTGAAGTCCATTTATTCAATAATCTATAAATATCATTTCGGGAGTTGACATGAAATTTTAAATATTGAAATGTCAACTAACTGGCTGAGGAAAATATTAGGAACGAAAATTAATTACCGTTTTGACAGATGCATTCATAACGATTGCCATAGTCTAGACAGGATGCGCCGTTAAGGCACGGATTTGGCTCACATTCATTATCATGGGTCATGCAGTAGGGATCATTGTATCCTAAAGGACAATCACAGTACCATGAGCCGAATGTGTTCACGCATATACCGCCATTGAAGCACAGTTTGTCACTCTAGAAGCAAACATTAAAACTCAAACTGCTAAACGCTTACACACTGAAGCTATAAGAGACATTTTTAATAATGAAGAAAATACTTTGGAAAAATTTTGAATATGAAATATTTTTTATTTTTTGAAGTATATTTTTCATTACTTAGCAATTTCATTTCACTTATTTGTAATGTAGGCATTGTTTTTTCAACATTTTTATAAATTTTTTCTTTACCTATCGATGTTTCCCATATTTTTCAACTGTACCCTGTAATAGTTGCTCGCTTTTAGGATTTCAAATTTGATTTTAAAAGTGAAACTTGGAACCTCTATACACTCGTTTATATCACTGGCGCAATTTTGACCTGTGGTACCTTTCATACAGTTGCAAGAAAATTCGCCACTAGCTGTGTCCGCAATGCACTCGGAACCATTTCCACACGGTTTCTGCATACAGGGGTCATCCAAATGACAAAACAACCCTGTGTAAACAATAAAGCTCTCACAGATATGTCAGAGCGTCCATTATAACAAAGTTATTCAATGAAAGATCTTTGTGGGATTGTCTTTGGAATGCATTGAAGTGTGGGAAGATTATCGGAATATGGTCATCTGGTCATCCATATGCAATTTATCTCTTTCCAAATTTACGTCATAATTAGAAGCCTACAAAATAAAACAAACCAATTTTTCCTGGCGGACAAGCACAAGTATACTTAGCTATACCATCAATACAGGTACTTCCAGCAGCACATGAATTTTCTATGCAATCATCTTCGTTCCTTGAGCAATTCTTTCCGGAATAACCATTCAGACAAACACATATGTAGTCATTAATGCCAACATTTACACATGTCCCGCCATTTTCGCATAAGTTATTGTTGGATTTTTCACAATAACCTGTGATTATGTCCTTTTGAACAGGACTATCTCCTGAAATTCCGATTACATTACCATTTAATTTGAATTTAATTTTAAGCTAGCCAAAGTTCCAAAATAGAAAATCTACATAAATGAGAAGGTTTTAAATGTATTACTATTACTACATGATTTGTCCGGAATTACAGCAAATACATATGCACCGATTAGTAATGCGCAATAAGTGCTGTACAAAGGTATTTTTTTGTTAAAGAATAGAAATGGGATTAATCATTTTAAGTTCCAAAAAATTCACCTGCAACTGTTAAAGAGCAATGGAGAATTGTCAACACAAAGAGACGAATAAACATATTTATGATAAAGATGTAATTAGTGAGTTAAAAGTGATAAAGTTATCGCGGCTTGCGGGGCTGAAATATTTTTCTTTGAAAAAGATGGTAAAATGAAAGTGATCGATTTAGAGAACTTAAAATTTCAAGCAAAAATATACTGAGAAAAGGCGAACGTCAAAAATTCATTGACCAGAAGAAAAGCCAAGATTCCTCTGGAAACGAACAAGCTAATAATTCTGATCTCGTTTGCACACTCTACTGGGAACTGGTACAGAAATAAATCGGTAAAGAATTTAAGCTAAAAAGTGTGGTTTAGTGATAGATGAAGATTCTGAAGGCTACGTTACTAGAATTCTGGGTCCTAGTAGTTTCGAGACTCCAATTTTTGCTCCTTTGTCAGAATCTTCTACATTAGAGGATGAAGTAATCTTCGACTGTTTAGAAAATGATATCCAACATTTTGAATGGCAAGTAAGGAAAGGAAATTCTCATGAAGAGGATCAAATGAAATGGATGTCAACCTGAAACTGTTGTAAATGCGATGAACAATAAGTTTCTGTGACCTTTAAGATAATCACTACAAGCCAATTAATTGGCAGAGAAGATCCAAGAATGTTGTAGCAATTTTTTCTTTCCAATTACAGCTCTATTTTTCTCTTGGAATGGTTTCTTTCACAGGATTTCTTAACAAATGAACTCAGTTTTCCCAAAGTCTTCAAAACCATATCAGCATCGTGTGATAGAATAATCAAATGAATCCAATAGTTCAAGAGTTCATTTTTTTTATTGACATTAATTTTATTTGTTTACGGAATCGACTGTTTGTTTTTTTTCTCTTTAGTATAACTTCAAGAATTATTGAAATGCCTATCGTCGCCTATTAATGAACAATTTATAACGCTAGAATTAATTTTGAAAGAACTCATTAAGTAAATCATTTTGTTAACGACTAAATTTTAACTGCCCATTTGAGCCAGTAACAATTTTTGCCATATGCAATGTGATGTACAGATATTTAGCAATATTAAATAGCAGCAACATCGAAATTTGAATTTTCAAATACTCCAGTAAGAGCATATATTTATGAAATGCTGAGAGAATCATCAGAGTTATGGTAATCACATGAAGAAAGCTGTGTTTCAAAATAGCTTTCAGTTGATAGAACTGGTTTATAAATCCATTATGCTTCATCAGTATTTGCAGCCTGAAGTTGTTTAGCATTTCTTCCCCGCTGTTCATATTCCTTATCTTCTGGATGTCGTTTCTGAAACGCTTCATTTAGCTAATTTGCCAGCCAATTTCAAAATCTTCACTCTTCTTTAAACCTTATTCATTAAAAGTTTAGAAATAGTGCTTCTCGGACTTTCCTCTCCCAATTCAGCTCACATTCAATTTTATTGTACACTAAGTCCTTATCTGAAACGGTAAGGAGTTCAAATACTATTGGAAATAGCTTTCAAACTGGTGAAAAGAAAGAGCATCGTGGAATGAAACAAAGAGTACACAAATTTTACTTTTTTTTCTCAGTTGAATAAAGCAACAAAACTGAAATCCACTGTTTTTTGTTTTGATTATTTTTTTAAACTTAAACAGTAATGAAATGACGAAAGTAATAACAAAGGCTGAAATACTTTTAGTTATACTGCGAAAATCTGCTATAATGAGGCATACCCATTTTGCTTCTGACGGAAGTTTGATCTTCTGTCCTAATATTGAAATCCTCTCCAGTTTCCTCTTCATCTTCTATGAAATGAATAAAATTTCCATTTTCATCAATGGCACAGCATGAGCAGCACAGACAACATTCGCATAGTACACGCCATGGTGGACAGATGCAGCATAGCATCAGTATCGGTACTGCAATAAAACATATCATTTAGTTAAGTATTGATATATGCTGTTTCTCGATCGGTTCTAAAACGCGACATTTCAATTACAAGCGGCACGTGGTGATGACGATAATGCAAGTCTATGACATGTGATTTAAATGATGATCACTTGTTAAATTCTTTACTGTAGCTTTTAGAGCTGAAATTCCCGTTAGTATTAATAAATAACATACCAGCAGCTATAATTATTAGACTGAGGAGCAGAAGAAGGAAGAGCACAAACGGATTGAAGCGCCGACAGCATGCCAACATTTTTGTTTTCGGCTCACATGGTGAAAATTCGAACATAAAATGAGACCTGCCTTTAATGACAGTTTATCGGAAACATTCCGATTCCAGTCCTACTAGAAAATCAACCATCCCTTTACAATCTTCCCAACTCCTTAGTTCAATTCAACTCAAGTCAAATTGGTTTGATTCATTTCAATAAAATCTTATTTTCTTCACTTCGTCAGACTTTTTTTTTGACTAATTCCGTTTCGTTCTATTTCGTTTGATTTCCTATACTTATTCGATCCATTTTTTTCTCTTCATTCAGATTTAATTCATGCACCTTCCAATGGCATGAAAAAAAACCCCCATAATTCACAACATATTGGCTTTACGAATAATGTAAAGAACGAACATGGCCCAAAATGTGATGTCCAATCTTTTTCAGCATCCCAGTCATCCGCGTAAGCATTCTGGTGCTCTGCTACTTGGCCATAGGCCACGAGAACAATGAAAAATAATGCTTCAATATGCATTTTATGCTTGACTTCAACTTCAGTTTCGATAATTATTTTCTTTCCTTTGTATATTCACTGTTTTAGAGTTACTGAGTGTAAACAACTCGAAAACTTTTACTGAAATTAAATTTAGGATCATAAAACCCAGTTATATCTCACCGCTCCCTTTCACCATCCTTTCTTACTGCCCCAACTCACAGGCTTGACAGTCGAAGTCATCACATTAGAAATTGTCATTATTCAGTCTGTTTTGAATTGCCGAAAGCCTCCTCAGCACTAATCAACTTCTGAGTATCACCACATCCGGATCCAGTAAGAAAAGCTATCGGTAGAGAAACTACTGAGCCATTTAATTCCAATTTCCCTACTGCAAATACAAAAAAACAAAAAGAGCAACAAACTTAGTAGGAAAGCGACAGACCGTCACAGTGAGAAGCTAATAGAATCAATCGCAGATCTATGACTATTTGTAGCTTATGGTAATAAATCGATGTAATACATCTCTGCATATTATCAAGTGACAAACTTGTTCCTCCTCACAAACTTACACCATAGAACGAGCCAAAATCACTACCTTCGTCTTGAAATCTTTAACTTACGAATACATGACGTCGTGACAGACGCCATCGACACGAGTTCGATATCTACTACCAAAAACCACTTTCAAAAACCACCAGTCCTAACCATTCCGTATTTTGAAATGTTTAAAAATTAAAATTCCCTATTTAATTCCCGTTCATTGTTACAGCTAAACGAACTATCGATGCCTGGAATAGAGATGTAAATAAAACCCAGTAATTCGAACTATATTCCCACCAAATGATAATTAATGACGCCAACAGGCTCCAACAGCTTCCTCAGGTTAAACACAAAACCTTACCTGAACTTATCAGTGTTTTCATTATTTATCAACACGAATTTGTACTGCGAAAAATAAAATCATATACAGAAGTAGGAATTCAATACATATATGAAAACTACAAAATACAAAAATACAAGACATGTACGACCATTTGAAAACTTACAAAAAACCAGTAAGAAAAGCACTGCAAGTACTAATTAAAAACGTTTCATAAAAGTAGTGATATACATTACCGGAATAAAAGTGAATATTTCTCCGTTCCTAAAACTTTGACCAATTGATACAAAATTTGTCTAATCAATCCTATTAAAACTTCCCACAGAGCATTGATCAAATTCTTTTAGCTATGATTTTGTACAGGGGTCCAGTTTTGTTAATACGACATGAATAATAATTGATATTGTAAAGTCGTAACAAAGTGGATAAGAAACAATAAAACATACAACCATTCATCATGTGATTATTCACCACTACTATTAATAGGTACAACTCCCAAGAATGTATCAGCAGTGGAGCTATTTTTTAAATTCTTCACTTCTTCACTAAGTAAATTTGAAATTGGAACATTTGGAAATACCCAAATAATGAGGAACAGAAAAATTGGTAATTTAAATTGTGGACCCATCACTTCTCATAACAAGACACGCAATAATAATTACTAACTCTCCGTTTTAATGGCAAACACTTAGAATGAAAATTTTTATGGCAACGATTACATCGTAAGCAATCATTTGCGTTCAGCTCCAAACCTGGCTCACAGGCACACAATACCTGAAAATACACAACCAGTGATCCCTGATATTTCGGTTTTTATTATTAATTCCAAAATTGTTTTACAGAACAGTATAAGTCATATTCCATTTTCACTATTCCATCAATTCGGTTCGAAATTTTCCGAAATTTTGAGGAGACTAAAGCTATCAATCAAAAATTTTCGACCATTATAAAAGACTCGGTATCATAACTGATCTCAGAAAAATTCCATATTAAATGAAGGAGGATCTTATTCAGAGTACGTCGCTAAATTATAGAAAGGTCCCCAATATCTATATTCCAAAGAGAAAATGTGATGACACACGCCAAAAATACTGATTTCCTTTATTAATTTTAGAAATTGGGAAGTTTATAATAAGGTCTAAACTACTACGAATAAATACTATGAAAACATGTCATTAATGGCTTTATTTTGTCAACTGCTTTCATTAACAATACCAGCAGAAAATAATCCGAAAGAACTACTAACCCTTATAAAACCTTTCCCTAGCGATTCTTGTTCTTGTTGCTGTAATTGTGGGTTCTGCGGTGTTACAAAATCCCGTGCCAACTCTGCTTGCTGAAAATGACGCTGTGGACAGACTGCATCATCAATAAATGAACCTTGTACATCCACGTCACGAGATGAAGCAGAATATTCAGAGTAACAGGAACGTGGGGTTGCCGCCCGAAATGAGGAACTTTCATCATGGAATCTGCTTGCAGCAGTAGAATCTTCTTTAGCTACGTAAGGATTGTGTTGCGATTTGGCAGTTACTGATGCCGCAGAATATTGTTGCTGCTCCTTCTGATTATGCAACCTTATTGCGCTTGGTTTGTTGTAGGCAGGTACTTGATAAGAATGTCCCGGAGCGGTAAACTGCTTCGACGATGCACTTGCAACTGATCCGCGCGACTCAGAACGTGCATTAGAATGAAGCGAACTTTTGTTACTTTGAGAAGATCTCGATCCAGAACTCGCCGAAGAATGGTGTGAGGTCCAACTTGCTGGACGGTCTTCAGAAGTTAGTATATGCTGCGATGGAATTCGGGGCATTCTGAAATCTCGAGGTGATGTTGACACATGAGAATGAGCTGGCACTGCTGTTTTTGGGTTCTGAAAAGGCACTTCTTCTTGGAGTATGCAAGACTCAGCAGGTGTCATCATTGAAATACCATGATCATCAGATATTATATAAGTTTCTGAACGAGCTTCATAGTTTTGAGCATCGTATGGCTCCTCAGAAATAGAGTGTTGCTGCAAAGCAAGATGTGCATTTGCTAACGGATGATGAGGTGGTAGTCGAAATGGAACAGTTTCCTGGGATGAAACAGAATGCTGCGATGGACTGAGTGGAGCTGTACGACCACGGTAAGGCAAATCTTGCAACGTGAAATCAGTCCGTCCTTCTGGTGGTGGTGGTGCAAGTGGTGGCTGATCATACATTCGCAGTTCCTGTGATGAATTAGAATGACGAGGTGAAGTTCGCAACTGTGAAGAGTAAGAACGCTGAGATGAATTCCGCTTTATGATCTTCCCAGGAACACGGAACTGAGTTATTTCCTGAGAAGCTGAACGTGGGATGGGTGTTTGCAACGCACTACTTCTTTCTTGTAGAAGATTATGTGTCAATTCGGCTAATGATCTGAAAAAAATAAATAAAGCAGAATGAGATAGACAAAAATATACAAATCGAAAGTAAATATAGTAATGAAAATTAAAAAGTTTAATCTTCAAATGGTTAATGAAGATGAAGAAAACGCCAACATAGAGCTGCCGGTATTTTTGGAAAAAATGGAATTAAAAAATTGCTTACGGAGCAATCCTTTTCAAACCATCTTCTAACTTCAGCTTCTCAAGCAGCATTTCGGAATAAAACCACCGTACGCTTTTGAGAACTACTTTAGCAGCTTGACCAGGAGTATTCGCACCTTAAGAAACGAGATTTATAAAATTTGTAATTATTTCTCGAAATTTAACTCAGTGAAACATGAGTAACAACCAATTCGTCGATTTAGTATCCCTCTTCCATTGTTTGACCAAGGTGGACAGAAAGGTATTTCAGGTGGCCAACAATCTGGTTGAGTGCCATCATACGGATCCACCCATGGGAAATTAACATGCAACATCATATCATCCAACAAATCTTAAAATAATGAGAGATATGAAAGCTAACAGTCTATTTACTGAATGGAATGTAGATAGAATTAAAAAAAAATGAATCATCCAGTATACGACGAAGTTAGGAACTCATCTCCTATTAATTACCTTTGAGCAGTAATGCATCAAAAATGAATCAGCACTAAGTTAATTTTCCTAATAAGAATGCTAATAAAGCTAATAAAACGAAAACTAAACGTCAATATATGATGGCGGCAACACTGAAAATTATTCAAAAAACCAAAACAGCTGAAATTTTTAGTTTAATCGAGCAGCCACCTACCTAGTGCACGGTCCTCAGCCATTTGGTCGACAACGGTGTCTTCGTAAAGTTGAAGCAAAGGCAGTGTAATGGTTTGCTAAAAAGTATTGTCAGAACGAAACTGATACATGATCAGATACATCACTTTATGGTAATACGCTATGGTGAAAAAATGAAAAGTGAGCCTGAAAATATTGCAGCACAAATAAGTCTGAAATGTTAAATGAAATAGTAACATTATCAAAGCCGTTGCTCATAGCCGGAGGCAAACAGTGAGGTATGTTTGAGCTTAAGAAGGCCGAGATCAGAGTTTTGTCACCAGATAAGCTCAATTTATTCCGCTCATCAGCAAAAACCACCAAAGTTCTGCATGTTGAATGATTTTGGATTTTGATCACTGATTCCAAAATCGCTCGCACATCTGCACCCATTTGATCATAACGAATTCGCAAAACTGGAATTCATTATAGTTACAATCTTCAAATTTCAGTGACAGATGGAGTGTAAAGTATTTCAATATTCTTGGTTGCATTTATATGCATAGTAATTTTCTCAGAATGCTTAAGCATAGCGATATAATACTTCAGCTCACCTGAATTACGAAAGAGTGACAACTGATCTTCCAAAATCCTTTCACTAGAAAGTGATACTGATGTGAAAGTTGAAATAGCTGGGATGTCCTTTGCAGATGTTGCCGGATCTGAATATTGTTCACCAGCTTCATCACTTGATGGTGGATGTGAAATGCCGGAAGTGAAGTCCATAGATGATGATTCTTGAACTTCATCTGACTGAATTTTCACTGTTTCCATGTTTTGCATTTCTGATGCCTTAAAAGCTGAAAAAAAAAGTTTCATATACCAGAGATATAATACTTTAGAGCTTATCACTTGAGAGAAACAAAGAGTCACTCCACCTCTGACTATGGAGAGATAGAATTGACAGATTACACAGAGTCTTAAGTAGCTGGCCGAGAGAGTGGAAAACGCCGAACTTCCGTTCCTTGAATAAACGATACGAATAAATTCATGCTGATCATCCTTATGTATGACTTCATAAATTAAATACGATTTGAGAAAAAGGAACCTGAAGACTCCTCTTGCAGCAAATTGGCATTTACACCAACAGTGCAGTGCCGCACTACTCGTGCACCTGTATTTGTGTCACCCTCAATATTTCGTGAATCTTCATCATAATCTAAAATATCAGCTACACCGGTCAATGACATCGTAGAAGGTGCTTTATGAATGTAATGATTTGACAGTATCGATAAAGCACAACGGTTTATCAAATCAAATTATAGAAGTTTCAAACAAAATCGGTCACTGTTCCACAACCTTTACTATGTTTATATAAATATGAAAGATATAAAATACAAGAGCTTCTTACTTGGCCCAGAAAGTCCAAAATGATATTCCATGAAGCTTATGTAATGTTTGAAAGCGTACTTCAGAATATCTCTTTCAAGATCCACAATCGAATGCTTTTCAATTTCTAAAAAATTAAATTACCGATTAAGAACGTGTACACTGGAACAACAAAAAAACTGCTGCATGCAATATGAAAAGCAAATATTACTAACTGCAGTCCACGTTCATGTTTTTTCAAGTAACCAAAAAACAAAGAATTTAAATTCACCTTTTCTCTGTTTAAGATTGCTCAAGCTCAGGAGATCGTTATTCGGATCATAAAATGGAACAGATGGCGGCCAATAATCTGGATTATGTGACACGCCAAACCACGGCTTCCAAGGGTAATGCATTGCTTCCAAGAATCTGTTGAGCATTGCACGTACATTAGAAGTGTTAGCAATATTGATTTCTAGGTTTGGTAAGCATCTAACCAGCGGAATTGAAACAAGCTAAAAAACGAATATACGTAGTCTCATTTCACATTTTGATGTACCAAAATGAACGTTCTGCAATAACGGGAAGTTTTTTCTTTTTTTCACTTAAAGGAGTATTTAGCAAACGGGGCTACCAACAAAAAATGGAAATCAATCAAATCAATTGAAAAAGTTGAATCTAATAAAAAACATCAGTAAGTTTATAATTAGAACAGTTATTAAATAAGAATAGAATAACAATCTAACAAGGTGCCAACGCTCCTTGATTGATGATTTAAATAAAATATAACCTCATCATCATCGACACCTTCCTCATCAACCTCTTCTCGCTCTCTCCACTTATTTTTCAAATCCCTGATAATGGATGAGTGTAAACAAGCATCGACGATGTACTTACTACCATGCAACTTCAAATCACCACCTGGGCTCACATGTATTGTGGCAATTTTATTATCACTTAGCGCGTTATATTGAGCAATATATAGCTCTATTTTCTTTAGCTTCTCCGTTGCATCGTCTTCAGTGTATTTCTTCTCTGAAATTTTCTTTTCCTTTGAAATTTCAGCAAGCTTCTAACCCCGCTGTAGGAATATTGATCGCTCAAACCAATTGAAGGTTCCGCAATCCCAATTATAGCCAGAATCGGTAGGAATGGATAACGACCAATCAGAATCGATAATTGGTGATTATTGATCCCTATCGACAATCACAGTCAATAATTATTTGCAACATGAACGTCATAACTCAAATCATATCAGTTTTTAACCCATTAAAACGTATTATCAGTAAACTGAGAACGTCGGATGAATAAAAAGAAAAATCACCAAACGTAGAATACTGTAGTCATTCATTGAAAACGGATGGAATTCAGAACTTTACATCAAAATAACTAACTTTTTTCTGCGCATGGTAAAACGCCAGCCGGAGAAACAAATGTAATATAATCTTGACCTGGTTTCGGATCTTCTGATCGCTTTCGCTTTTTTCCTGTAAAATCAAGGGAACGCAATATATTTAAAAGATAGTTAAAGTGTGGTCCAAAAAGTTTATGGATATGAGTTTCATAAAATATCAGCGTTTTCTATTAAAGAACAGCAAGTATTACTATATTTCAGGAGAGAACTTACTTGGATGACCAGCCCTCTTTTCAACATCGGATAGGCCCTCTACAGATGCAGAAAGAACACTGGATGATGGACTGGAACGAGATGGTGTCAAGACTGGTGGTCGACTGAAAAGAAATTACATAAATAACAAATAAATATATGAAAAGGAAATGGAAGGCGAAATAGCGAGAAAAGTAGTGAGTTTAGTGACATACGTTGGAAACTTCATTACCTTATATAAACCTTAATTATTAGTAATGTCTTCTTCGCCAACGTTTCACTCATTGTGAGACAAGAAAAAAAAAAAACCTTCTTATACCCGCAGTTAAGATCATAACCTCTGAAAAATGGTATAAAGCTTATCTTTTTTAAATATATGATTTATTACAAAAATCAAAACCAACTTCAGTTGATCCGGAATAGCTCTTTCAAGTGGCGCACTTGCTCTGGCAATTGCCCGCTCTACCTCTTGCACTTCATATGTCGCCTTGGAGCTATCAGAATCCATATTACCATGCCCTTGCCCGACGATATTTTGCGGAACATCAAATTGTCGTTCTTCTACAATGGTTGCTTCTAAAACACAATTAATAATCTCAAACAATCGATGTAGCTTTCGCTGAAAACCTATGGGAGTGATGGCCAGTAGATCAAAAATTCAAGTAAACTGGTAAAACAAATGATTTGTATAACCCAATGACTCACTAAATCACTATAAACAATAATAGCAAGGCCTAGCAATATAATGTCCGAATTAAAAAATCTTTTGCCTATAGAAAAGATCAGAACAAGACCTCAAGTTAACGAAAGATGAAAAAAAGGAACCATATCATCTAGGAGTTTCTGATCTATCTCTTTGAAATATTGCAGCACTAGAATACATTTTGTGCAAAAGAAAATATCCATATTTTAAATTTTATATTTGCAAAAAAAATAAAAGAACAGTGGAACGATATACCTGATGTAAAAGTAGATGTAAGTGTCAGTGACTCATTTGATGAGTTCCTCGGGAATGCACTGTTTGCAGTGTTATTTGAACTACTGCAAGCCTGATTGAAATTTGCAACTTTTCCGGCATTTTGCATGAAATTGTACAGCGACTCTTCTTCAAAATCGTCCAGTTCGAAATCATTACCCACAATTTCCTCACCTTCACTAACTGCTACATTCTCCAAACCGCTTGTTGACGCGCCATCATCATGTCGCCTGCAGTATTCTATCAGTGTTAATGAATCATTTGGAAGAATTGATATTAATCGAAAATCTAAAATTTTTATCATGTTTTAACCTCAAAGTGAGAAAATCACATAACAACTGAATGTATAAATGCCGCCAAAACTAACGAATTCCAAAAACCAACGTAAACTTGAACTTACACAGAATTAGCATAGGCTGCTCCTTGCCCAACCCATGATCTTTTTGGTCGTGAAACTTCAGCCATGTCAAAATCGGCGGTCTCCAATTTCCTCCTAAATATAGAAATTCATAAAAAGAAAGCTTTGATAAAATGTTTGCACACATAGGTAAAAGTTATATGCTTAGAATCTTTATTATTATTCAGAATAATTCGATGCAATAGAATAAAGAACATTTAAGAAATTCGGAAACAGGAAGCATTACTCATCACTATCGAAACTCTTTTTGCCAGCCATACGTTGTTTGAGATGCATCTGTCTTCTTATATATCTTGCGCGCAAAGCACCAAAAAGCGCTTTAACTTTATCCCATTCCGGAAACGCAGACAGTATAGAGCCAGGCCCATATACAGGAAAACCAGCTGCAGTCGCTTCCGAAATGGCTGCTTTCCGTCCCTTAACGATATCAAATTTTATAAACTCAGAACCATTATAAAATATGCCTGCAGCTCATACAATTCGCGAAATAAACTACAAAACTGAAACTGCAAGGCTTAAGACTTGTAGTAATCTCGATTTCGGATACACAATTCGCTGATTCATAAATAATGCAATGGGATCAGTTCTTTTTTATTCACCTAATGCAGCATGCTGCGAACAAATATGTACGATGCGTTATCTTAAAATGAACCGTACCACCGTAAGTTTTCAAAAACTGACTGATGGAAGGTTTGAACTGAATGGCCCACCTTTTTCCAGGCTTCTTTTGGATTCATTCCTAGAATTATATCCTTTCGGCAACGTCGTTCAATTTCTTTTGCTCTGGCTTCCACTAATCTTATTGGTTTACAACGTTCATGATGTACTGGATATAACTGGCTAACAACGACGCCATCTACCATTTTAATACGTGCAATTTCACCTAGAATTTGAACCAGTGGTACATTTTTTATAGGAAATAAACTTGAAAAATAACAGTAAAATGGTTCACCGCTTTTGTAAGTTTGGTGTAGAGTATCGCAGCGTGAACATCTGAAATGTATTGTTCGTCCAGACTTTGAATGGGATGCATGCCTGTATAACCGAACTTCATCCGGATTGAGAGGTACTGTCAATGAAGTTTGCTTGAAACGGCGTGAAAAAGACAGATAATACGGAGAATTTGGTGGAGCTCTAAAGAATTGACTTTAATCTGAAGCAACTATCATGTGTATATCACTAATCCATATTTATCTTACTACATTCTCGAATTGGTCTGAAAAATTTTGAGTTTGTTGGAAGTAGCGTGTAAAAGAAGAGATAATAGGAAAATTTATTCTAATATCAAGAAATATAATTATCTTAATAAACTACGATGTATGAATATTTGGAGTCTTCTAACTTTGACATTTTCCTTCATTTTTTATTCTGATCTAGCTCACAGACTAGTCAAAAGTATCACATAAAATACCTTATCATATAAAATACCTTTGGAAAGATAAGGTAAAAGTATCGGCAAAACTTTCATGTAGTTTTTGTAAACGAAATGCACCATGAATTTCCTTCGTTATACTTAGTAAATAAGAGAAACTTACACAATCGGAGCATTGATGCCAGGAATTAGAGCTTTGTTCACATTATTCGCTAAGAATTTGATTCTACCATTTTCTCGTAATGATTGATTACCATCTGTACCGTCACTACCTCCAACCTCACAGCCACATCTCGACTCAGTACCGCTTTCTACACACTGTGCGTCCTATACATAAAGTCAAAAATAAGCTCACTGATATAAATGACCTCGACTCTTCTCAGGAAAAAACTTTTCATGAAGATTACATTTTTTTTCACCATTCATTTGTCGAACCAAAAAAAGATAGTAAGCAGTGCGCACTGCCTAGAGATGCGTAGCACTGAAAGATTTAATGGTCCCAACTAAACGTAGAAACTTATGCTTAATCCAGTTAGGATAAAAAATAAAAAGTTTATTCATATTTCTGTGACCACATTTCCCTTCCCCTTCCGCATTTGTCTTACTTGTTAAGATGTGAGAGATCAAGACGCTTTGTCCAGTTTGCATTCAAAATGGCATTTTTTAAATTCATTTGAGAAAGCTCCCAAGTTTGTCATTTTCAAAGTCCAAGGGAAATTAAAATGCTATTGATAACAGTACTTCTTTTTGTGATAGGATAAAAAAAAACTTTGCAACCAGCGAAACCTTAAGCTACTACACACTTCTTACAGAAAAAAATCTGTACTTCTGAAGATTAACAAAAACACGCGCATCAAATATTGAAGATGCTCAAGTTGAATCCATAAAATTTGTAAAAACACCTGAAATACACTGGAATATTTGGAACCTCAGGAAAAAAAAGCGACAATGACATATACGGATGGTAGAGAATGACGAATTAACAAAGGGAGGATCTGCTGATTTTACAGGTTTAAATTAGTTTTTTTTTAATATTCCGATAAGATTAACTGATAAATCACACATGACTTCATTACGCAACAAATCATTTTTTTAGTTGCTTTATAAAATGCGCAAACAGTCAGATGTTTTCGAGAAAGGCAGCTAAAACATATAAGAAAAAAACAAAGTGATGAACGAAATTCAACCGAAAGCTAACTTACCAAGTCATCTAGCATTCGGCTCTTCACTCTCACTGTTGTAGTAGATACTGGACTGCCTGTTATTTTTGTGATTAATTCAGCACCTTCGCGTGAGCTAATTTTCTGATTTCTGTAGTCACGTAAGACATCTCTCACTCGTGGATGTCGCCAATCCACAGAACACGGTGGACCTGAAACATTTATCATGATATTCTGGAAGAATTATAATTCCCGTTCAAATTAATCCAATCTTAGCTGATTGAAATACTTGAATCAACATTGTGTGAAGTAAAATCAACAGATGCAATGCTTACGATATGTTCGAAATGAAGGTGGCGTCCATACAACAGAAACACCATTACGATTCTGCAAGCCACTATTATCTTGTCTTTCCTCAGTATCATCCCCTATCGGACCTGGTTCCTGTACCACTCGGCTGGCACCTAATCCCAAAGTACCTTCACCATTTTGGTTGGCGCCTTCCACAGCACTATAATTTATGATGTCATAACCTCTTGCACTTCGTGGAGAATGCCCTACATATCGGGTACTGATGGAATAATCTATTTGACTTGTCTCACTAATAGATGCGTTATCTTCGCCAAAACTTTGAGCCGATCGACCTGAAAAACATAGTGGTCAAAAACGCGGTACATTGCACGCACCTATTTTCAGTTAGGTAGCGACACTTTGAGGATGGATGTAACTCATTCCGAACTTAAACTTCCGAAAAATGTTTAATAGAAAATTATGCTACAAATCAGCTAGTGAATTGAACTTTGTAAAATTATTATATACAACGAGACTCTTGCAGCTGATTCTCTAACTTCAATTCAACTTTGAAACTTGAGTAAAAGACCAAATTGCTAATGGAATTACACGGAATGGAAGACCTACCCTCTATTTCAAAAGCAAGTGATTCGTGACGAATTCAAAGGACCCCAAATATGCAGCAAATTGATCGGATGCTTCAGTCTGCTAAGGAGAAAAATCTTACTAACCACTTACAGAGATCTGGTCATGCTTAAAAGTAGACTATTAACTAGCAAAAGACAGTTGAAGATGAGAAGACAGAAAAACCATTTTCTGAACAAGTTTGCTCATCATAATCCATTGGTTCAGCTTTGATTGTTCGCAATCGTGCATATGTCTTGACAGATTGTTGTGAATGATCCCGATTATAGAAGCCACTACCGCTACCGTGATCGCTATTAATAGAACCATTGTCCGCACCAGCACAGTTACTTTTCGAAAGATGTATTTCTTCCAAAAACTGTTGATCCTCATTTTCATATTGAGAATCGACGATTAATGCACCGCGTTCCGGAGTAAACGCCATATAATATACACAATGCACGGCAACTCTAAAGTACTCACTTTTGCCTGCAGCTTTAAAAACTCGCCCTCAAACTTGACTGTTTGTTCATTCTTTCAAGTTCGTCACCAATCCACTTTGTGCCGAAGTAAAGTGGATTAATAAACAATATGAAATGATACACAAATGTCCTCAGGGAATTCTTTAACGTACGCCATCATGACGTCTCTATTCATGAAGAATAGCGTGATATGAAGCTCTAAAGCTTACTTCATATTTCACCGAGGTGGTGTACGTCTCGTAGCAACTGAAAAATATGCCAGCCGCAACAAGGCTGTAAGTACACCACATCAAGTGAGTTCCATTTGAACTACATATTCTGAACTGACCTGGTTTCCTTATATATCAAATGATGAATGCATCATCGACAGTAGTATATCAAATCATTCGACAAGATCGATCTGTGTTGAGTCATCGCTGATACTATGATAAACTGTAAAAAGTGCAGCAAAGCTCTCCACTGAAATTTATTTTTTTTTGCCAGTGACGGAACGACTTCCAAATACACTACGAATGCACAAAAAGAAGCCTTTATCACTTCTGTAAATGGCAAGAAACGATGGAACCATGCTAGCCAAAATGAGACTTATTAACATATTCTCAGAGTGTACTCCCGTTCCCTGTTTTTATATGATTAAGTCTGTCAGCCATTAATTGTACTGTCGCCTTCGACACAGTAGTACAGCAAAGTAACAGCAAGCCAGGAAAGGACCTTTAAAAAAGTCCAGGTTAGTCTTGCGGCATTAACTCCGTCGTCTTCATACATACTCGCACTTTATTAGGTTAGGGTACCAAGTGAATGATACTCTCCCGTTATCAAATACCATTTATCGACTTCACTGTTGAGCAATTCTTACTTGAATTACGAATAGAAATGAGTGCTCTACCTATGCAGTTTTAAACTAATGGTGGAATGAAAAATTCTCACCCCTCGACAAATAGACCCAATTTAATTGAGTACCTTTAACTGAATTTAACTGAATGAAAGCTTGTACTGTGTCGAAATACCTTCAAGTCTAGGCACTTTGACACCTTACCCGTTCATTACCGCCCTCCATTTCCTTTATCGAAATTCATCAGTAAAAGCGACCCTGTCAACGCAGACAAAACCGAAGCGGAAATGCGGCCGAAGTTCGATTAATCAATACCATAATGCAACTCACACTGTCTTCCTTGCTTAGTTGTGTAGCCATATTGTTCATTGACCTATAGGTAGCGCCTCTCTTGCATTTTTATGCTAAGATGGGAACATAACAAAGGTTATTAAGAGAACATCTTCAATTGAATTTATCATTTGTATTGATGGCAAATGATGGCATTTATGAGTAAACTCGATGAACTGCTTATATCAGAGTCGGAGGCGCATTTGTCGGATGGAAAGGGTATGTGCTTTGAAGAAGTGCTGGACCTTTGAAAAACTGCTAATGTCATCATGCAGTAATGCTACTAGTGTCTTTTACTGCTAATGTCTTCATTATATATTTATTTGTCTTTCTTTAATTTGGTCGACGTTATTTTTTAAACTTTCAATAGAAATCAAGTTGACCAGTTGTTGATTATCTTTATTTCTGTTTTCAGATTAGCTCATTAAAATTTCTGGAGCTTTTATGGCTTATTGACTTAATATTTCTGATATTGGTCCCAGCCATGGATGTATACTTTCAGTAATTTTTATTATGCTAAATACTGCAATTTTGCAAGCGCATTCTTTTTTCCTCGTAGAATGAGGAATAGCGCAGAATAAATGCGAAATTTGTAGGGTAGAATGAGGAGTTTGTTGGGTTGGAAAAGTACGTCCTTTGAAGAAGTTCTGAAACAGTGAAAAACTGGTAGTGTTTATCACATAGGCCTCATCACAATATGACTATAATCCGAAGAGGAATGGTTGTTGTGAAAAAATTCTTTCCTTTTATTGAGTCGTTTAGATTTAGAAGGTTTAGCCTTGAGTTAGGATCAAGCAGAACTTTAATTGAAGGCTTACCTTGTGAGGACGTCGAATATACGTTGTGAGGACACAGAGTAAAATTTACCGCTTTATTGATATAATACAGAGTTGGTCAGTGGGATTATTGAAGAATCACGAGTAGAAAATCGCTTGACCGTGAGTCAAAGGCAGTTGTAAGTAAGAATACTATGGAAGAGCACTAGTCCAGGAAAACCTTTTTACAAAAGGGTTTATATGTATAAAGAAATAGGAATGGTTTACATAAAACGTTAAAAGAGGGTATTCATTTAGACACAAAGGAAACTGTAAAGTTCTAATTACATAATAAGCGTTGTAACAGGATTAGATGGGAAGGCTAGCATGTAAATTGGACATCCTTTGTCATTAAAATAAAGATGTGGATTTCTGTTAGACAAAGATAACAAAAGAAACGTATGGGAGATAATTTTAAAGAATGTAAATTGGTGAATGAATGCAGTGATGAATCATTAGAAATATTCTAAGCATTTAATGTATGATAAATTCTTTCGTTTTTCCGACAATGGTACTGGCTGAAGTGGTAAATTACATTTTGTCCTCATCAGGTCCATGAAAGTTAAATGAATTACTGAGCGAGTTTCCAGAATACCTAGAAATGCTGTTTTCTGAAGGTTAGTTACACTGATTTCCAAATCAACTATTTGTGTGAAAATGAAATTGTGACGTTATCTTGCACCTCAAGAAATTTAAGGGAGTCCACCTCTGATTTAGAAGTTCATACACGATTTCGACCTGCTTACTAAGTTCTACTGGTATGATCATTTACCAGAACCTCAACTGACCTGAATCATTTTCATTAGATAAAAGGTGTTACAAATGATTTTGTTCAGTGTGTTTTAATTTATTGACATGAAAGATTATCACAAAGCACAGTATTGTTATCGAAGTCTTTGATCACCTGAAGACATACTCCTGCATTTCGAGGTCTTTTTGTGGACACTCA